CAAACCGAGTACTTCTGCGATCAAGATGAATATTACATGCACATACTCATCCACGCGTACCTCACTGTACCCTTCAGCTTGACTGCCATCATCTACTTCGACAATTTGTTTGCCATATTCATTAATCACACGTGCGGAATGTGCGGAGTGTTAAAGTGAGTGCATTCAACAAATCTTAATAATCGAAATGACGCACCGATAAAAACGATAAGTTTTTTTTTCATTTTGAATAATTAGGTTTCAATTTCCTGTGAAGCTACTCTAGGGAATAAATTTTTTTAACTTCTTAGAAATCATCTGGCGGATATTGGAGGTGATGATACAGATAATCCAGTGGATATTTTAGAGCGCATTAAGTTGAGCGCTATTTTGCAAACTAATGTTATCGGGTGAGTTGTGAGATCACGCGAAAATTAGAAGTTATTGTCAATTTTTTAAATTCTTTCTTCCGGTGGAAAAGATTTATAAACGACCTGGAGTCATCCTACACTATAGCTCTTTTAACCCTCGTCGGGGTTAATATGATGGTTATAACCATGACCGGTATGATGGTAAGCCTAAAAAATAGAGAGCCTGGAATGAACGTTTTGAAACTAGCCAACGAATTGTCCAGGTTATCATCAACGTCCACGATCCAAGTCAGATAATTCGTTACACTGCATTCAATAGTGGCAACATATTCCATCTATTCTGGTGCAGCTGGCAGGGTCACAATCTAATTGTTCAAAGTGAATCGGTGTTCACATCGGTGTGAGTATTATTGCAACGAGATCCACGCCGTAACATCCGTGAACAACTGTGAGATTATTTTCTATCGGTAGGTATCAGAATAATTGGTACAGAATACCCTGCAAGTACCAAAAAATGCTACTACCACTCATGATGAGGAGTTTAACGCCATGTCAAATAACAGCTGGTAAACTCTACGTCATGTCAATGAATAGCTTCGGGGGTGTAAGTTCAAAATAAAAATGAGAGTGATGAGACTTCTATAAGAATTTCACATTTTTGTAATTGCACTGTTGCAAATTTTCCAGCTAAAAACTTCCAGTACAATTTTTAGAATTTTTTATTTCACCGACAGCTTAATAACTGAGAATGCGTATTAAGCTATCGGTTTGTTATCATTGCACTGTGGTTTCAAGGAATTTCTCCGCTGAAAATTTGTAATTGTTTATAATAATTAGATTATTGTTGGATTTACTCTCTTTTTAATCGTTTTGATTTTCATTTCTTTTCAAGGCAATGAGGATGACTCTGTCTTTTCTCACTCTCCTACTATCAGTCCGATGAAACGACAACAAATCAACTGTCGACTCGTCTGTATTATTTTTGTAAATTCAATATACGATCAACGCTAAAAAACAAAAATGTCCATCCCAAAAAGATACGCTTGATTATTGCCACATGAAAAAACTAAACTCATATATTCCCTCAGAACACCTCGCATCCCCTAATACTGTCAAATCGCACGAATATCGATCATTCATTACAATTTCACTTGGAACTTTGTGCGAAAACAATTCGCAACTTCCGGACATTCAGTCTCTCGTCTTCCCCCAGCTAAAAGGACAGAGTTAAAATAGTCAATGCATGCTACATGAATACGTTATGAGGTAATTGGTGACATGTGAGGCTATCGTTCACCGCTAGTTCTCCACGTCATCAACGATTAACCACCAAAATTGCAACAGCAATTACGACCTCTCAATTCATTCGACCAAGAGAATCTGCAATGAGTGCAGACTGCCGGCGTCTCACTAAAAAATTCAGAATAATTCTCACTCTAACGGAGAGACACCAGTTGTCATTCAGAATCGAGATGGAGAACATGCTGGATAGTGGGTATTACAGGACAACCAGATGGGCCCTCAAGTTGATGGGCCAGTGGCCATTCCAGTCACCACGAAGAAACAAATTCTTCAAGTGTATCACGCTCTCCCTCATCACCAGCATATGCATACCAACGGTGACGAATTATTCCTCAACTTTAAAAATTATCGCGAGTTTAATCACTTTATCATAATTCCAGATGACCAAGTTCGTGGAGTCATTGAAGGACATAGATATAGTGATGGAATGTGTACCAATGATTGGAGTTTATGGTACTGCATACTTGAAGTACTTCACATGGGTGTTCCATCATGACAGAGTAATTCCAGTGCTCACCATTAACTCATTATTAATTAATCAACTGTGTTAATAATCTCCAGATGAAGGGACTGCTACTGTCAATAGAAAGGGATTGGAAGAATTTGAAAATCGAACGTGACATTGAATTGCTTGGGGAATACTCGGAGCGAGCGAGAAGAATGAATAATCTCTATACAAGTACTGAATAATTATCAATTACCCAACGAAAGATTAACAATGGAATAACGCAAATAGCAAAATACTTTGTTCCTCGATTTTTCAAATCAACTCTTGCCTGAAAATCTGCCACTTGCGTCAAACTGTTATTAACCTATTGACATTCTATAAGATTTAATCAATCATCTCTGGTGGATAATGAATTATTTCTTTCCATATACTCTCCTGGGCTTTTTTCATTTAATTCTACGATAAAATTCATTGGATAGTGACTATTTATGGATTAATGTCATTGTTCCTTGGTGCCCCAGCAGTTCCGATACTGATGGATTTATGGATTCCATTGAATGAATCTCGTTCACGAATATTTCTGTATCAGACTGAATACTGGATTGATCAGGATGAATACTACTTTTCCATTCTTTTTCATGCATATTTCACGGTACCTGTTTTATTCGCCTGCATTATTTTTTTCGATAATTTATTTTCGATATTCATCAGTCACGTCTGTGGCATGTGCGCCATTCTGAAGTAAGTGATTATTTTTTAAAATAATCTGACGGAGAATAAAAATTTAATTATGAGCATTAAACTGCGGGGTAATGTGGACATGTTTTTATTTCAATCGCACGATAGGTCTCATTGAAAATATTTTTTTTAACTCATTAATCATTTTTACTAATGACTCACGTTTTTTTTTATTTTTTCATTTTTAATAATTCCACTTGTCATCAATCTATTTATTTCTTTTATTAATTATTATGAATTGATAATTAAGAATGGAATAATTTTTGATGGATGTCCATTTTACCCTTGATTTATTATTCATTCGAGAGAAGAGAGATTTTTTGATCTAGAAAAATTATCGCTGCGTATTTAGTTGATAATTGAAGATGTTAAATATTTTTATGCATCATTAGGGCGCATTTAGAGGGCATTCATATCGAGGGGGCATCTGATAATCGAGGGTCTGTACACGAGAGATTGCATTTGTGCGCTGATATGCAAACGAATATTCTTGAGTGAGTATTATTTTTTTTGCAACAGGTCTCATTGGGATCCATTCGTCAGTCATTGACTCATCAATTTTTCAATTCCACTCAACATGTTTAATTGTTCGTCAATATATTTGTTTACAGGTTTGTTCAGTACTTGGAGACAACCTGTACAGTTCCTTTTCTGATACTTGTTGGTGGAAATATAATGGTGATAACATTGACAGGAATGATGGCAAGTATTAATTACTGTAATTAATACTTGTTATCATTTCATCCGTAGAAATCCTCTCGTATCGCTCATTAATTATCATCAATCCTGTCATTTCTCTTCATCACCAACCAGTGACTAATGAATTTTATATTGAATATTCAGATCGTGATAAAAGATGGTGAAATAAGTGAAATGATCAGATTTGCATCGTTCAACATCGGTACAATTTTCCACTTATTCTGGAGCAGCTGGCAAGGCCACACTCTCATAGTCGAGAGTGAGAGTATATTTTTGTCAGTGTAAGTGATCGAAGACTATTAGCATCCATCAATAAATGATAGCTGTTTTATTTCAGTTACCAGAGTGAATGGTACACCCTGCCCCCAAAATTCCAACGAATGCTTCTCCCCATAATGATGCG